GCGGGCCCCCCCTACCTGCAGACACTGCCGCTGGAGGACTCCGTGTTCTCCGAGGCGGCCGTGGTCTCACCCGAGCACCGGCGGCAGTCGACCTTGCCCACCCAGAAGTGCCACCTGCAAGACCACTACGGCCCCTTCCCCCTCGTGGAGGGTGAGCGGATGCAGGCGCTGAATGGGAATGGGGGAAAGCCCCGAAGTTTCACTCTGCCTCGGGACAGCGGCTTCAACCACTGCTGCCAGAGCCTGTCAGTCGGTGCTGCTGATCACCACGAGGAAGCGCAGCAGAAGGAGGTGGAGGAGGAGGAGGAAGCCACCTGCAAGACCACTACGGCCCCTTCCCCCTCGTGGAGGGTGAGCGGATGCAGGCGCTGAATGGGAATGGGGGAAAGCCCCGAAGTTTCACTCTGCCTCGGGACAGCGGCTTCAACCACTGCTGCCAGAGCCTGTCAGTCGGTGCTGCTGATCACCACGAGGAAGCGCAGCAGAAGGAGGTGGAGGAGGAGGAGGAAGAGGAAGGCAAAGCAGCAGCAGAAGACCAGGAAGATAAAAGTAAGTATGGGACGTTTCTGTGGCTTTTCACAAGTCCTGTTCGTGTAACATAGAGATTGCTTCTCCTTTTTCCTATCAAAAAAACCCAAACAGTCTTTCAACATCCCCCATTTTTTTACCAGGTCCCCCTTGTCGCACACCTCTCTGGTCTGCCTTATGTATAAGGCTTAACAATCGGAGTGCTGCATGACCTGTCACGATCACCAGACACTTTAGGCCCGTAGGCTGGTCACCGATCACCTTCTAGTAGTAGTTCATAGTTATAAATGGATCTTGGTTTCTAAACACTTCCACTTGCACAGTGTCCTCCCCCACTGAGACATGTACGTCTCAGGCCATACTTAGTAAGATTTCCAGCCAACCCCATCTGGGTTGTGAAAAACACTCAGAGTGCAGGGTCCGGCTGTGATCATGTAGTATGCAGGCAGGCAGGTCACAAGACAGCCCAGAAGCTGTAAGAAGTTGAAAAAGAGACTGTATTTTCCCCAGTTCCTCACGTGGTGATTTGTAGAGAGAGAAGTTCAAAAAACATTTCAAAGAAACAAAAACATTAGTGGAGAACAAATATGTGACCAGCGGGACTTAAAAAAAATCGTAACTCTGAGTAACGGTCTCTTAAATGGCACATTAACTCCATAGAGATTAGTGTTACTTGACAAAAATGATCCAAATAAACAAGGATCGGAGAAGGTCCCTGCTCCTCCTGAACATGTAAACGCATTTCTGTGTCTGTTTCATGCTCTGTCCTTCACTGTCATTTATGGAGCTTCTCAGCATGTGTTGCTAGCGAACTTGAGTTCACACCCAAGTTGTGGGATTGGTCAACGAAGATGAGATTGTGGGGTGATGCTGCGATTAAGTTACTTGTAGTGGCAGGGAAGGCAGGATGACCCGTCAAGCTCTCAAAGGGTCTGTGCTATCTGGTTCCTTCAAATTCAATTTTTTAACTGCAGTAAAGGAGTATAAAAAAGGTAAAAAGAGATAGGAAAGGGTAATGAAATCTTTGGATAATTAACTGCCTACCTAAGTTAATTCATTAAGGTTAGCACCTTTGTTGAGCATTAAAATTCATGTGGACATTATTTAGTCTCCTTGGGAGAGATCAACAGTTTTCCATTGCCCTTACGCTTTAGTCAATAGGTTCTAAACACCTCGAATTCTTGCCTTTGAGAAAACAGTGATTCTTTTGCAGATATTAAGTTTGATGCCATTAAAAGTTAAAAAAGGCACGATTTCAGTTGTGTTCATGCATGAACTTTCCAAAAAAAACATGTATTTTTTAGGGTAATATTAGACTCTTATGGACTGTGAAATGAAGCTGTCTAATTAACAGGGTTAAATTTCATCAACCAGAATGTTTTATCCTATTTTTAGCCTTCAATTTTGGTTTTCAAATGGGTTTTTACTGATAGCAATAAAAAAATATTTTAAGAAAGATTCCTCACAACCAACGAAAAGGGTCAGGGAGACTTCCCGCTGGAGTTCCTGTGCTGTTTGGGCATTACTCAGAGATACTGTTGCAGGGCCTAAGTCGTTAGGTGTTTTAAATCTCCATTTTACAGCTTTTGGGTTCCTGGTCCTAACATTTTATAGCATACAATGCTAATAAAGGGCTAGTGCTTGTTTTAATGGGCCAGAACTTGGACTCTTCTCCATCTTGCTATACTAATTTCCAAAAATGGAGAAAAAAGTTTAAGTTTTGAAGTGGTCTCCCTGTAAACACATACTTTTAGTCTGGGGTTGAAGCTTTAACAGGAGATTGTTTTTGAGACATTAACGTCCAGCTAGACAGTTAAAGCACTCATGGTGAATTACTGACCATGAAATTATAAAACCCAAAAGAAAATACTGTTTAGTCTTTTGAAGAGTTTAAGTGTTGAACTGCTTGTTGCTATGGCTGCGATGTTCTGTTTGCAATGCTGGCTTTTTCCAGTGTCCGTACCAGTAAATGGCAGGCGGTATTTTCTGCAAGTGGTGTTCTTAAGTGCAAAATCCCAGTTTCCGAGCTGAGAGATTTGCTTGTAGCTGCTGTCTGCTAAAAGGATGGGTGCCCTTGTGTGTGCTGCGTCATTGCCCCCCTCACCTCCATTGCTCTGGGAAAACGAAACGTTGCAACTGGCTGGAGAAGGGGAATCCTCTCCCTGTTAGAAATGTTTTAACCTCACCTTCAACCTTCCCTGATGTGGTATCAGACAGACCTTTTAAATGTATTTATTTGCCTTATACATTTGTGATCCTGACCTAGTTCTGAGCTCTTGGATGATTGTATGTGTTCTTATGTGTACATGTATGTGTTTTAAAGCTTAATCATTCCTATTGCTTTTTGTGCCGGACAAGGAACGCAGCTCCTTTGCAGTTGTTGCTGTACAAGTCATTGCCAAAAGTTTGTTTTCTCAACTTTCTGTTTTACATTCCCACTTTTAAAACCTCCTGAGTTTAAATCAAATAGTAAAATCCAATCCTGTTTCTTCCAACTTCTTTTGCATAATTGTTTTCAAATAACCACACCACAAATTAGGAGCTTCATGCTTTTTTCAGATGCTGTCCTCAGCCGCTACAATTTAACATAGTTCTGTTGACTTTCTACTGAAGCTACACTGATTTGCAACAACTAAGAATCTGCTCTCTGTTTATACCTTAAATAGATATTGCAAGATTTTACTGGTACTGCAAATAGTTCTGTGTATCAGCTCTGCTGTAATGCCTAGATATATTATGGTAATCTGAAAATATAGGTTGTCCTTTCTTATGTTTATCCGTTAGAATCTAACTCTGTTGTGTGTTCACTTGCTTCTTTTGTCTTGTTATATCACATGAACATTACACTGCTAATCTTTCTTCAATGGATTGTTTTATTTCCCTAATTAAAATGACTTTGTGTAAATCATTTAGATGTTCCATATTGACACCATCCTGTAATGGTCTCTCGCTTTGTAATTGAAGAGGATTCTCTTGTGGGATATTTGTGTTTGTCCATGTGTTTACTCCTGAGGCTGTGCAAATGGCAAACCTGTGGCACCAGACATCCCTCTTGCAGTGCTGTTCAGAGGCAGCCTGCACACGGGGAGCAGGCCAGTGGCTGTGGCACGGTGCGTTGCGTTTCCGCGATTCAGTTGTGAAGGACGAGTTGGGCCTTTTCAGGTTTGTCTGCTGCGAGGGGGGGGTAACAGGAGTAGACAACTGTGCATGACATTGTCTCACCTCCTTCCCCTCTGTCCCCACCGCCATCTGCACTCTGTGTTTCAACAGATTTCATCGCTTAATGCCAAACAATGCTTGTAGGATCTTCTTGGGAGACTATTTCCAGGTTTTGTCCCAGGAAAGCATGCTTCATTTTTTTGCTTAATTTTTTGATGGTGGTTCCTTCATTTTCAAAGACTTCTTTAGTTTGTGGAAAAGTAACAGGAGTGACTGAGGGTTTACCATTTAAGAGAAGCAGGTACTAGCTCTCTTCGGAGTGTAACTGGCTGTAGATCCCACCAACTTAGCCGCAGAAAAACCTGCACCTTTTTTCCATACTCCCTGAAAAAATGAGCAGTAGCATCCGTGGGAGTCTCTGGTGCAGTCACCTTGGCAGACAGCACTGGGGCAGGAGCCCTGCTGCTGGCTCCACGCGCCGCGGGGCTGGCCAGAGCGGCAGTGGCACACCTTCCGGGGACCTCACGCCTGAGACCTGCAACGGTGTGCAAGGGAGCCTTCCTCTGCACAGACTCCGTAAGATTTCGTCAGGAATATGGAGCGAAAAGCATTGACCTCTGTTTGAGTCTGAAAAGGTGTTTAGAGCAGGAAGAAATTACTTAACCTGTCGTCCCACTGTTCAAGCCCATTTCCTTCTGCATTGTTCCTCACCTCTTCGTTCTCTTGCTTCTGCAAGTTTTCTGCCGGTTTTTTTGTTGCTGCCCTAGCATCATAATTTTGGATTATCTTCTACATAAGGTGGGCAACTATAACTAAGTCTTTAACAGATTTCAGTAAATCAAAGGCTGTCCTTTTGGGGCAATTCAAGGGTGGCAAACATTGGTTTGATGCATTGATTCCCCACCCCGAGTGTTTAAAAGATGCAACAATCTTCCATGTGTGACTTGTGTCACCTTGAAAAGATTTTGCAACGTTTCTTAAACCTGGGCACACTCACATGTATTCCCTGGCATTTTGCTCTATCACTCTAAGCCCTTTTTCAGCTTTGCAGCATCTCCCAACCCGCCATGCTTAGTCCTACACAGTCTAGTGAGCGCTGTCCCAGAGGAGCGCAATAGCCTCATGCTCCAGTCTCTGAAACTTGGCGTTTTACCTTAGATCACTGAAGACACTTGCCAAAGGCTGGAGCGGGAGCTGGTGCTGGCATTTTGCAGCTCGTAGAGACGTCCAGACACTGCAAAGGATTTCAGGAAAGCTCCCCTTGCTGTTAGTGAGAGCAAGTCACTGAGAGAGGTGTCAAATGTCTGCTTGTGCTGAGGTACCAAGCCTGAAACTTTTTTTCTTTTTTTTTCCAGTAAAAAATTAGGAACCAGCAAGAGAATATTAAGAGAAATAGAAAGCAGTTTCTCCCACCCCACCTACAAGTCACAGAAATGAAGCTCAAGGTGGCAGTGCTTTTACAGAATAGGGCAGATAGGTTTAAGGACTCCCATGACTAGCAACAGGTAGAGTTTCAGGGACTGTGCCCAAGAAGGTGTATCCATGGGACATCCTACGCAGCACTTGACTTCAAGAAGGAGTTTGCACTAGTAAAAAATATACTCAGAATAGGTCAGGTATTTCAAATTCTGAAATACAGGTGCAGGAAGGCTTGCCTCTTTTTAAGAAGAGGACTGTACTGTGCAGTGCAAATGCTATCTCTCAGGAAGATCAGTGTTTGCTAATTAAGCACTACATTATCAAGTGGTACACTGTGTACCGCTTCTAGGACTTGCTTCTCTGCATTTTGGATAGGGTGTCTTTTCCCTTTGGCAGGCTTTAGGCAACCGTGAAATGTGGGAGGCAGGGTGAAGAGTGCGTAA